TTGTGCAAGCATACTGAATCATTCATCATTTCTCACATTTTAAGTCATTTAGATTTAGATTCAGAGCTGCCCAGAAACGGCAGGCGTCTGATTTGTAAGGTGATTCGTAAGGAAACAAATCACACAGGCTTGCATGAGGATCGTTGTCAGAAGCCCATACACCATTAACTGCCCTGTTCTGAATCAACGAGAGGGGCTGATAACAAATAACTCCTCCTGTTTTGAAAATGGAAGGTGTCAAATGCCACAAACAGGTCATCAACAATTGACTGAACAGTCAAAGAATGCCTTATGGAGAGATTACCAAGACTACATAATGGAATCATAATCATGATTAAACTTCATAAGTCAATAAAGCACAGGAACATTCAAAACCCTTTATTACATAGTTGACATCATTTCTAAGACCACTGTTTTTAATCATGCTTTATGACTGATATCACCTTTAACATTATTGGTAACAAGTGGCTATGGATGACTGTGGGTGTTACTCTTTAATATTAGTAAATGTTGATAAAATGGACTACACATGATATTTTGATGATATTCAACTATTTTTGACATGCATAAAATATATTCCCTCCTGTGCCTTTTTAGTGTTAAATGATCACTTTTAAAGGTGGAATCCAAACACAAGTGCAAATTATGGAGCTCCCTGCGGAAAATGATAACTGCTCCAAAGACGCATTTCTTAACGTTTAGCGCATTCTAGTCTGTTAACCGTAACCTTCCTATTGCATGAGGTGGTGCACGGGATGAACATGAGCAATTTACTTATACAAAATTCTTCCAAATATATCATAAATGACTTGGCGGTACATTACATTGAATCTGAACTACACCCTATGGACTGTATAAAGAGTGCAGTGGATATGTCCCATTAAAATAACCCCTGTCTGCCTCTATAGCATGTGAATAAATGCCTCCATAATATCATCAATATTTTACAAACAATCCAAGCTCCTGTGGTGCTGATTAGGAAGCCTGCCAAATGACTTGCTACTCTGCAAGGCTTAAATGGGCATTAGTGGATATTCAGAAGTGCAGGGTCCAGTGCAAAGTTCAGAATACAGCTGAAACGAACATGACCATTTGCAAAGTACAAGTACAGTCAATACCTATTTACTATTATGAGTGTTAGCCAGTTCCTGTAATTGCCGAAAGAGATGTTGCAGGGCTATTGCGTGCACTGAAATTCAAAGGTTCTTACACTAACGCAACTCCACCTCGAGACCTTCCTCAGAGTGGTACTCTTCATACATATAACCCTGAAAGCAGTGACTACCCTTGTACTGTTGTTAATTTTTATGGTACAGAGATGTGAAGCAGAAGTTGAGGCACAGTGTTCGCAAATGTATAATTATCATTTTGGACACATGGTGCATTACATATATGCTTTATCACATGTTATAGTGGTCCCCTGTTTGGGATTTGAACCTATGGGGCTCTGTTTGTGTGCAGGGCCAGGCACACCACTCGATGTGCATGAGCGTCATCAACAGATTGCAACGCAACTGCAATGCAGTGGCCGCCGAAGCCCTCCTCACAGGCCGAGACTCTTCACAGCGGCAACCCCGATACAAGAAAAACTGGCACATCCTCGGATTTCTCCTCTTCTGGTTCCGGTGTGGGGTTCGTCCAAATTGTTTGCCCAACAAAGTGCAGCCGCATGCTATTTGTCGCGGTGTACTGCTGCCTCTCCGGCTCGGGAATCAGGTCCCTTACTCCGTTCTCACTCCCCGGTATGCTGTCGAAGGCCTTGATGTCGGAAACAAACCACTCCCCGTTTTGGAAGATGTGGAGCAGCACGTTCAGCCTGTGTCTGTGGTGCGGCAATCCCATGCCACAGTCCACCGTCCAGCCCAGGGAGGTTTCGTTTACAAAGACCTCCTCTCTATAGGTACTTTGTGCACGATATAAACCAAGTGTTGAAATCCTTGGGACCATTTGTCCTCGAGGGTAGAAGCGAATCCGCCATTTGCACCTCGCCTGCAGACAGACGCTTGTAAATTTCAGGCCGTGCTCTCCTGCTGGCTGGGCTGTGTAGTTCCCCATCTCCCAGCTGCTCCCTGCGCTCTGGGATTTGTACAGCCTCATGGCAAACGGAGCCGACGTGAGGTCGTTGTTGCGGCCCAGGAGCTCCACGCTGACCGAGTTGGCCTGGTAGCTGATCAGGCTCCCCCTCTGGATGTAGGCGTGGACCTCGTCGTCGCCGCCTGGGGTCAGGGCCTGGTACTGGTAGAGCTCGTCCGGGTGTATCATCGGGAGCCGGATGTGCCGCAGCACGTGGGCGGCCCGCTCTGGCCGCGGCCTCAGCCAGGCGGCGGCGGCGGCCAGCAGCGCTGCCTCGCTCTCCGTCACCAGGTCGCTCCGCTGCAGCAGGGCGCACAGCTGCTCCTCCTCCATGGAGGCCCAGCCGGGGGACCGCGCCGCCGTGTCCACGTTCCGGGCGAGGAACTCGTCGCAGGCCTCCCTCAGTTGGGCGAGGCCGGCCAGCGCGGAGTACCGCCTCCACGGCACCGCCTGGTTGAAGGCCGCCGGGGACGCCACGTTCCTCACCATGAACTCCTGGCAGCACTCCCTGAGGGCCGCCATGTCGTACTTGTCGGCCAGCACGCACACGGGCATGGCGCTGTCGACGTCGAGCTCGACTGTCCCGGTGTAGAAGTAACGGAGGAAGCCGGCGAAGTGAGGGACACACTGCTCGTCTTCAACCAGGCTGACCATGTCCTGCTTGGAGCTGTTCCAGTGGGGGCTGGACAGCATGGTCCTGAAGACGGAGCTCTGGGTGACCAGGAGCAGGCGGTGCGCTTGGAAACTCTGGCTCCCGTTGACCTCCAGCTGCACGTCGCTGAACTCGGGGCTGTCAAACAGACTGGACACCAGGGCCTGCAGCTCGGGCTGGTGGTTCACCACATCTGAGGGGCCACTCTGAAGAAGACATACAGGGGAAAATCATTCACAACATAATCAGAATTGCACGTTGGCCTCCTAAGAGGCTGAGTCGGCAAGGCATTTATCTTGAGTGCAGGCTGAGCGCTATAGCCCGGGTTTAATCCTAGCTATATCATCCTCTGACAATGACCGAGGGCCCAGAGTGGCAGAACAAACTGCATCTTCTTCTGCCAGGGGTACAGTGTTTAGGTCAGCTCTCTTAGGGTCCTCTCTTCACACTACTCTCTACACCCTGTGACTTTTCAGGTGTCTGCATGCTTCAGAGATGACATCAGCAAAGCAGCTCCTATCATCCAATAAGTGTGTACTTTGCAGTGGTGCACTGTGTGGAAAAAGTGTCATACTGGCATACATGTGTATTAGCTGATTGTATTCTCCGCGCTCTGCGCTCCTGTGCAAACACAAAGATTGCAAGATGAAACTAACCCAATGTGCAACTGGCATTGCCTAAGAAGGTTCTATAAAGGGGTAAAAGAATAAAAAAACAGACATATGCCATTTGCTACAAGTTAAAATAAATAAACTATGTATATATAGTGAAGTTCTTCAAACATAACATGATAAGCATCCATCCCATTTTAATACACCTTAAAAACTAAAACCTAAGGAACCTCCCAGAAGGCCCCAGAAATTTTCCCAACAATACATGGTACTGACAGTCAGTTGGACCTGGTCATTATCAACAGTGTCTCCAATCATTAACAACACTCAAAACTACTCTATATATAGGGTTTAACATTAGAGCAAGTTATTTGAGCAAAACAATATTTTCAACTGTATATCAGGGCAAACTTATACTCTGCAAATATCATGGCTAAGACATACAGACGCCCTCCTGATAGAATAGAGTTCTAGTATCAACTCCCAGACAAGCCAAGATTTTACAATGCACTTCATTATGCGAACTGCTGCTGGGCGTACAGATGAAACAGAAGTATTTTTAAGCATTTACGCACCTACTGTACATTAACTGGCTAAGTACTGAGTGCATTTGTGCCGTAAACGAAACACGCAACGAAAACATAACAGCCGGACACATGTCACTTCGGGTTTGTGATACGGTATTTTTGGTTAAAAACAGTGTTGAGCTATTTGGTAATTATCAGACCATTATGGCAAATCACCCACCATTGTTGTCAGGTTTTTGCGAGCAGATCTCCACGCTGTAAATCCAGAGCATACACAAGCTCACCACGTCGCTTCCAGCGCCGCGGCACTTTCGGTTTCCATTCTTCAAAAGGGAATTGCGTGTGCGCGCGTTGACCGGTGGTGCGCGTTGACCGGTTTGGATCGAGTTTAACGGAGTGCGGACCAAATTTTCATTGTACAAACAGAAATAACGACAAAACAAATTGATTGCTTCCGTGTATTTTATTTAACGTTAGAGTGTTTATGCTATCATACATATATTCGTATTGGACGATAATATTAGGCTATATTCCGTTTTGGATAAATTATACATAAACTGGTCATAACATAAACTGGTCTGTTGTCACTCAGGATTTAAACCATGTCTTACAGCAATTTTGATTAAAAAAAGACAACTTTTTTTTTTGCTTTTTTTTCATAAGAATGTTCCGTCATGGCCTATCCACTGCCTCACGTGGTAGTTACCATTACATTCACTCAGCACATTAAAGCAATGTTTCCCAACCCTACTCCTGGCGGCACACTGTCCTGCATATCTTCTATCTATCCTTGCTGCTTGATTAAATCAGGTGTGTTCAGCTAATCAAACGTGCCACTGATGAGTTCAGTCAGGTAGGTAGAGCAAGGATAGATAGAAGATATGCAGGAAGATATGCAGGACAGTGTGCCACCAGGAGTAGGGTTGGGAAACACTGCATTAAAGATTATTATTATTATTATTATTGTTTATGTTCATTTATTTTATTATTTTAAAAAACAATTATTTTAATATTTAATTTCAATAAATTATTGTTTAATTTATTATTGAATTCATTTTTTAAATAAAATGACACAGTTTGTATGTGGATGTTCTGCTACCTGTTGACCCAGTTGGACATCACACATAAACAGCATACGACAGTGTAACTTAGTGATTAAGGAGCTGGGCTCGTAACCGAAAGGTTGCCGGTTCGATTCCCTGCTGGGGCACTGCTGTAACCTTTGGGCAAGGTACTTAACCCACAATTGCCTCAGTAAATATCCAGCTGTATACTTGTATAACATTGTAAAAACACAGAAAGTGTCCACTAAATGCAAATAATCTAACAAGGCCAGTGAGAAAACAAGGAGACAGCAATGAGACACCAGCTTTCACAGAGTGTCTCTTCTCAGGATGTGAAGCCAGGATTGCTCAGCAATTCAACTTACATCAGTCAAATCCTCAAATAGAAAACAATGTAAAATGTGAATATTATAATGAGATAGAGCACTCAAACCCACCACTGCTATTACCTTTATTAATGCTATTAATTTCACTGTATTTTCAACCATTTGTGTTTGCAGTGAGAAGGCAGAACATCACATTATACACACGCCCAGATAATTAAATGTGTAGTATAAATATACAGGATGAATATTGCATTGCGGGTAACTGTGTCATGCTGTGGCAACTACAATTTCGCTTGCACAACATTTTTAATACCATTATTACAGGTCCTATACTATCACTGCATGTTACAAACAAAACCAGTTTTATAAAATCTACACACATATGCAAGTAAAAACATACCTTTGTGCATGTGCCCATATTAAGCAACTGATTTTCTAATTCAGTCTAAAACATTCACACTTCTTTGACCATCTCTAATTGCCACTCAAAAGTATAGGCCTATTTGAATTTCAATACTGAAATTTGTTCGGGTATTTAAAAATGTATTTAATTCAAGAATATTTAGATGCGTTAAATAAACTGATGAATATGTATTTGTGATTCCAAGTAGGGTGTTACCACTATTATTCATTTAAATTTTTACTTGTTCATGCTCCTCTCTTATATGTAATTAGACAAATAAGCACACATGCCCACACACGCAAACGTTCGCGTGCACACACACACACACACACACACACACTGAGCGGGCCCCTTCTTTATTACGCGCTAAAGTGCGCATTTTCATTTTTGTCCCGTGTAATGATAATGTATACGTGACTTGCAAGTCAATTCAGGTGACCCCGTAATACCATGTATGCGCACAATGTATATTTTTCCATTCAGTCATTATCAGTCATGTCCCTCGCCATCAAATTTGCTTGGTCATTTTCTTTCGTTTGTGACTGTAACTATGAATGTGACGGAGCGAGGTTCACCATTGGTGGATATTCAGTTCAAAACGTTTCTCTGTGTGTGTTGTTTGTGTGTTTGTCATTGTGCCTGTGTAGGTTCGTAGTCTACGTTGCATGAAGGGGAATACTGCTCAATGTCTATGTTTAAAAGGAATAACGCGAAAACTGAAACTCACCATGGTTTTCAGCTACGGACGCTCTACGGGAGCACACCCACATGCGCATGGATCTTTGTTCCGGCATCCGCGCCCCACTCCGGGTTTGGGATAGAGGCACCGTGTTGTAATTTGCGTGCTTTCTCGGTGTCATATGCATATGGAATGTTTTAGATGCGGTAAAATGGTGATTACTGTGTTAAACAGTACATGAATATGATTATGTGTTAGATCATGCAGAAAGGAAAAGTATGTTCCTTGTGTTGTACCTCATGTGGATTAGTCCAGGGTGGGGTCTTGTAAAGGGAGACTATTTAAACGGGCTGGGTCGCACACTTAGGGGGAAACGAAGGCAGAGGCAAGTAACTGTGATTGATTTCTGTGCGAGTTTAAGCGTACAACGGTTGCCTTGCGGCAACAATAGGGCTTACGGACAGCTTCTGATCTGCGTTATTGGTTAACTTTGTTGTTTTTGTTGTGCTTTTTTGGATGCATCTCTGCTGTTTTGGCTTTGCACTGTGAATACGGACCACCTGAACACTGCGCCACTTTTGTGAATAAAGCTCATCATCTTTGAAAGCCCGCGTGAGACAGGCTGTTCCTCCCTACGACCCCAACGCCACATTACCTTCTTCATGGACACACTCGGCAGTATCAAACCTGTGAACTCTGTTATTGGTGAAATGGAACAGAAATGTAAATACTTTAAGCCAATATAGAAAACTACTGCCATTAGGCTAAATTAAAGTAACTCAAAAGCGCTAGAAGTATAGGGGCATTTATGTTCAATTATAGTGGATGTTGTTCACGTATTAAAGTCAGCGTGATGCAAATAAAGAAACAAACTCACAAATGCTCACATACATTTATTTATATTGCGCATTTATATTAACATATTCAAATGCTCAAAGACAATCTAGAGGATTTCTCAATTATAATATGTATGCTAAGTTATCTAATTTAGTTTTTTGTCAGTATGTGTCATTTAAAGCATATTTCATTTCTGTTGACAAATCTTTGCTTAACATATTTCAAATTACAGTTTATTTAATAAACATTTGTATGTCTAGAGATGTAGTGCTTCACATTCTTGTTTAATGTCTATTTGAACATTATAGATTGGCAATTAAAACACAGCTAAACACAAATGCCACATTGTTCTTTGTTTCTATTTACAATTGAAATTACTTTAAAATAAGCAGACTTAGCATCTTCTCCTCTATGGATTCACCAGTATTTTTCAGCTCAGTCATCTAGGTTTAGCTTTTTTTAACGTTCTCATTCATCCATTTAGTCTTTAAACATGAAAGGGTCATCTCCACCTAGAATGACCCCAGTATGTTAACCTGTTCTTATTAATGTTTGTATACCCATCTGTCTTCCACATGTGAGAGTGGGATACAATACCTTAGCTGAATATTGTCCCCCTCCCTTCCTTCCCATTCATTGCATAGCTGAAGTGCTTGGTCCCACTCAGGGGTGTAGTTATGGCCAGCACGGTCACATTCGGGTCAGGACAGGTCATAGCATGACACCCCAACGATCTCCAACCCGAAACAGTCCCTCCGCCACTACACTTTATGGTTGTTACGGCAAGATGCCATGCAGGAGTTGCAGTCATGAATTGCACATATTTGTTGTGCATCAAACGAAAAAAAAAAATCAAACCAAAACAGAACTTTTGACCATTGCTTCCACGGCACAAACATTTCAACCTGAGTCTAATGAAAAAAATTCTCTTTACAGCAAAATCATTGTGGGAAAACTCCAAGAACCAGTTAACAAAACATCCGCCATCATTTTTTGAGCAACAGTGATGGAACTGATGGAACCTGTTGTCTGGGCATGCTTATTTTGCTGGTTGTTTCAAAGGGAACTGAGCTGATGGCGGGTCACTTGACATGGTTATGGAGTCCATAGATAATCTAAGATCAGACCAGCAGATTGTGCTTTTTTAGTTCTTGCCCCCTTGGTCTTCTGACGGCTGGCCGACTCCTCCCCCTCCTCGTTTGTAGTCCCCGCCCCCTCCTCAGAGCAGGACGCAGGCCCCGCCTTTGGCCTCCACGGCGCTGGGGTCTACGTTGGGGTCGAGGTCGGGCGGCAGCTTGCCCTTCTCCCCCCAGATGTTGAGCTCGCCGAACACGCCCGTCTCGATCATCTCCTCCTGCCAGGGGATAGGGATGTTTCCGGAAGCAAACTCGTTGTAGAAATCCGTGTCCTTGTTGTCCAGAACCACGCCCTTGATGGTGCTGAAGGCGCCCACATCATCGATGTTCTTGGCGTACACCATCTTGGGGTCGGGAACGAAGGGGGGCTTCAGCATGCCTGGAGATAGTAAGTGATTGGGGAGAGGGGAGAGAGTAATGGGGCCTGTCAAATAAGAAATGTATAGTAATGTTTGTCCCTCTTTTATCAGAGGAAAAACGTGCCAGCGTTAGCACACTTATGCAAACTATGATTAAAGCAGGGTGGCTACATGCCAGTGATGAAAAATTCATCACTGGGGGGTGTGCTGTATTAGGTGTCCACATGTTGAAGGACAATTAGTACCTGAATGGTGATTCATTGTAGGCAACTGGCACAATAACATGTAATGTAAGTGTATATGGAGAATCCATGCTTTTTTTTAACAAAATGAAGGTTCTCTGTGAAGATACAATCTTCACCATGGACACATTTATTATTATTTGCTAATTGACAATTGTGTTCACAACCCTGTGTCTTCATGTACACATCTTGCAATGTATAATCTTTTTCATGATCAGGTTCACGTTAAGCAGTTTTGAAAGCATGAGAATGTGTATTTTTTTGACAGGCATTTGATAATTAAACTACTTACTTCATTAGCCATGCCCACCAGGTTATATGAGGTGGGTTATAAGAGGGAAAAAAGGGAGGGCTGTGTGTGGTTTACTCCTTGGTTTTATACATTTTAGTCCGTTTTCTTGCCTGTTTTACCAGTTTTAACATGTCTCATTTATATGTGATAAATTCAGCATCTTTTTGGGCGGCTCCATTCCTCCAGCCTTTTTAAATGCAAACCCTTTTTACGTCACCTGCTTCTAGTCGGCCCCAGTTGAGGTCCTTGAAGAATGGCTGATTCTTCAGCTCGTCGCAGCAGTTGTTTTTGAAGCCAAGGCGTTTGGCAGCGTCCTTCTCCAGGAGAGCCTCGCACAGGGCCTTGCAGTCCTTGCTGAAGCTGTCGGTGTAGGAGGGTGGGTCGTTCAGGATCCGCCGGGTCACCTCTGTGTTCTCCACCTGCGCCGCGTCGAGAGAAACGGCACATCCAAAGCGTGACGTTGCGTGAATGTGAAAAGGGGCAACTTGGGTGTCGTATAAACTGCTTCCCAATGATGAAAATCCTTTTTCTGCCTTTACATTGCAGCTTCAACTCTACTGACTGAAGACAGCTCAGAATTCAACCCACCCAAAAAAGGGAGTTTCAAATATCAACAGGAAAGCAGTATTGCTTTTGGAATTACTTCATACATCACTTTACATACATTCCTCTCAGCTTGAGACTTGGAAAATATGTACATGATTTAACTGTCTTAACTATGGTCCTTAAATTTAAGGATGCTGCTCCGTATTAAGCCATGAGTATGTCTCAAGTAATTGTTATCCGTCATACATTAGGATTGTTATAATAGTTTTGAGTGAAAATGACTGTATATGTTTCTTTAGCAGACACTTCCTCTTGGTACAGCAG